GTTTTCCTGTCCTCTCATTCATCTTTCCTGGTGTAAATAAAGTTAACTATCTTTGCATAGAAAGCAAATCTGAAGAGCAACACTATATTAAAAATCACAAAGCAAAGGCAAAGAACCCCAGAGCAGGAGTCAACACTCCTGCCTTTTCATTCAATCATTAGTCTTCATAAAAAAAAAAAATTAAAACAACAATAACAACAATAAATAAGTGAAACTCGCCCCACTTGAGTGAGCCCTGTGGCAGAGGGAGTGTTATGTATGAACCATATCATTTTCTCTCCTTGGGAACTCTGGAAGATCCCCTTCTTCCCAGCCTTCCTTGTAGTTATGTTGGGGGTCACTTGCCTGAATTCTGACCCATAAATTATGAGCATAAGTGAAGTAAGCCATTCCCAAACTGGCCTATAAACATATTTCACAGGATCTTCCAGCTGTCTTCCTATGGCATCCTTAACGGCCACCGATCCCATGGTATGGGTAGCTCAAGACATGGAAACTGTCTGGGTCTCTGTGTCATCACCTATATGAGAATCAGAGTGGGAGCCACCAGTCCCACCAAGACTATGGTGTGAGCAAGAAATAAACCTTATTTTAGTGAGCCAATTGGAGTTTTAGGTTTATTTGTTACCATAACATAATATAGGAGTAATCAAAGGACTAAGTGAGAAAACAAAATTTACCTATTTTATAAATCAATATGCTTCGAAGCCATTACACAGGTACTACTGGTGGCTGTGATGGTAAGTTTATAAAAAATTAATAGAAATAGTGCCCTCGGTGGCCCAGGATCTGTCTCCTGTTTCAACAGTGTTTGGATGAAACAGACCTAGGGATGCCCCTTCTACCAGCCTCTGGCCACTCTCCTGTGACTTATCCAGTCACCATCTTCAGAACCATCTCTGAGACCAGCCAATGCACTGGTATTTTTCCTACTTTAACTCCTTATTGCCAAACAGCCATGAGCTCCCAAATTCCTCAGAATTATTCTACCGAGGTGAAGGCTGCAGTCAACCACCTGGCAAACTTGCATCTGTGGGCCCCCTACACCTACCTCTCTATTTTCTATTTCCTCTGTGATGATGTGACTCTGGAAGGCGAGGGCCGCTTTCTTCCACAAGTTGGCGGAGAAGCATGAGGGCGCTGAACGTCTCTTAAAGTTGCAAAACAAGCGCGGTGGCCGCATTCTCTTCCAGGACACGCTGAAGCCTCCCCCAGGTGAGTGGGGTGACACTCAGGACGCCATGGAAGCTGCCCTGGCCCTGGAGAGGAGCCTGGCCCAGTCCCTTTTGGACCTGCAGGCCCTGGGTTCCACCCGTGCAGACCCTCAGCTCTGTGACTTCCTGAGGACCACTTCCTGGGTGAGGAGGTGAAACTCATCAAGAAGATGGGCGACACCTGACTCACCTCTGCAGGCGGGATGGGAGAGTATTTCTTAAAAAGGCTCACCCTCCAGCAGGACTACCGTAGGAGCCTTTGGAGCCCAGAGGCCTCTGGGGGTCCCTTTAAACCCCTCTAGTGTCTGGCTTTTAACTGAGCCTCTCTCTGAAACTACTAGTCATTCTTTTAACCACCCTGAAGCCCTCTCCCATGCATTGGACCAAATGAAACCATAAAGCTTTTTGCAGAAAAATAAAATTAATAGAAATTCTAAGATTTTTTACATTCTACCATTACATAGGTAATGTAAAGGCTTCCTGAAGGGTAGAATCCAGTCACTATACACCAGCCACACATTTAAGACATTGGCATATGTATCTGCGTTTAACAGATCTGGGAAATATAAACAGAGATGATCCATTTCACCAAGGGTTTCATCTGAAATGACTAGGTAGTCATGACTGCCTTGCCTGTGTTCACTACAATGACTATAGTCAGAGACACCGAGTTCCTGGAAAGAGTGGTCTTTGACGTACAGATAAAAATTTATACCACTGTAGTGATTATCTCACTTTAAAATCAGAGCTAAGAGGACTGATTGTGACTATTTTTTAAAAATCGCCTTTCAGGAGAACTCTCTTCTTGGTTATAGTATGTGAAGGCTAAAAAAATATTCAAAAAAGAACAACAAAACATTAAGATTTTATTTTTGTATGAACTAATTTTGTCCAAATTTCAAACACTACTTGTACAGTTTTAGAGAAAGCCCTCCTGAAGACCTGAGAAAATAGTACTTAATGTACCATTATTATTTTTATGTGGTTAAAATTGTTTAGTCAATCAAAAAAGTAGTCCTTTCAGAGACTTTTGAAGGGGTATTAATTCAAGTCAATAAAAAGAATCCTTGATTAAATCCAACCGTACTATACCAATTTAATTGCTCCTTATTTGTTGATTATTAGGTTTTACTTTACAAATATCACTGACAGGATTAAAAATATTTGTCATAGAATCAGAAGGCCAAAAAATCAGTATAAGAAGACTAAAAATATACTTAAATATATTTTTTAAATATAACCTTCCAAAAATCAGAAGTACTTTAGAGCAATCTTAACATTTCTGGAAGTGCAAAAATGAATTTAAACTTATCATGACCTACTTTAATGGAAGAAATTACAGCCACCTTAAATATTTGTAATTTACCTGTATAATCATGCTAACTTGCTAATTTTAGATTTCAAAAATTAGAAAGTATGGCAATAATTACATTTAGCAAAATCAATCATACATTTATGCTCCATAAGAACAGTAAATAGAAAACTGAGTTTGCTTATTCCTAAATTTCTTGTCACTGCTAAAAAATCATATTACATTTTTCACACAGGTTAGAGGAGCTATAAGGAAATGCAGGCCCAGTCACTAGAGTTAATTCTATAAACACCAACTATGTACACATATATTAAAACCAAGCAGGTTGACAAAACTTCCTGAACAATTGCCTGCCTTCCCATTAGAGCAGGGATTACCACTTACCCACCAAAACCTCCATTCTTCCCTACCTCCTTAGAAAACAGAACTTTCCTCTCCCTTCTCTCTCTTTCTCTCTCTCCTTCTTTCTCTTTTTCTCTCTCTAATAAAAACATTGCTTTTTCGAACAAAACTGCATGTATCCATTAATAAACATTTAATCAAGTTCAAGGACAATGTGAGACTTCAGGGAAACCTGCTTTGAAAAACTGACTCACTTTTGAGGGACTATCTTTTTTTTTTTTTTTTTTTTTTGGCCTTCTTAACCCCAAAATCTATACCTAGAGTCCACTGGTCTTCAGGGACCCGGACATTCCTGCACTAGGAAGGAGGAGCAGAAAAGCAATAGCGTGGTTATATCTTGGGATCACCACAACCTTTCTAGTCTACATCTATGCTACCCTCACATGAGACAGAAATATACTTCTATCTCCTATAAGCAACTATTATTTTGTATTTTTCTACTATGTGCAGCTAAAGTGATTTTTACTAATATAATCAAACAGCCAAACCAGGTTATAAAAATAGCCAAGAACAATAAATTAACCAGTTAACTGCCACATGTCCACAAAGGAAACCATCCTTGTGTCTATAGACACTTATGACATGCAAATGGTAATTGCCTAGCTAATGTGTCTGTTGTTTAACTTGATGAATTTGTTTACAGAGATTCAATTTTAACTTTCCTTTATCCTATTTAGTCAAATTTGTTAAAATAATAATATGTAATGCAAGAAAATCAGTATTGTGTAAATTTAATAATGTTTACCTAACCTATTATAAGAGACCCAGAGATTAAAAATTTACGGGAATCCAACTAACAAGAAAAGATTACCCTCTAATATCAAACATATAAGAAAATTAAAATTAAAAAAAAATCTATAGATTTCTATTTTCTAAAATAATTTATGGAAGAAGAAAAGAAATATTCTGCTATAGAATATGCACTGACATGTGATAATATGAAGAACATTTTGTAGTTTAAACTGTTTTCTATTGTTCCTATTTCCAAGATTCTGTTTTTGAAAATCGATTAATTTTCATATAGAAATGATACTTTAAAATGTAATTGCTAAAAATGTAATTGCTAAATAGAATTAACTGGAACCTCCTGATAAAATCCAGACAACTTTTGAGAAACTGAACACTCTGTACAATTATTTACTTCTATCTTATACATGAAAAGAGAGAGCAAGAGGGAAAGAGAATGAGAGAGAAAACAAACTATCTATGTCCATCTGGGCCTTAAATAAAAAGGACCTTCATTTTGGCTCTTTGGATAGAGTGTCAGCCTGTGGACTGTAGGGTCCCAGGTTCAATTCCACTCAAGGGCACATACTCGGGTTGTGGGTTTGATCCAAAGTAGGGAGTATACAGAAGGCAGCTTATCAATAATTCTTTCTGACCATTGATGTTTCAATATCTCTCTTCCTTTCTGAAATAAATAAAAATCTATTAAAGAAAAAAAAAAAGACCCTATTCTATTGTGTACTCTTCCTTTTCCTACTATATTATATAGGCTGGGTTAGGATCACTTTCATCTTTCAAGAAATAAATCTAGAAATATTTTTTATTTCCTAGAAATAAAAATAATAAATAGGTATAAGATTGCAGTATCAAAAATAAATTTTCAATACAGAAATCTCTCATTTCCTAATCTCCTTTGATCTCTTTCTCCTTTAAATAGGCTTAAAGAAAAGTGCCAATATTAATTTGTTTTTTAGTATTCACATCAATAACTGGCTCATATATTAAACTCTCAGGCTACAGAGTCATAATTTTTACAGTCATTATGATGAAAAAAATCCCCAAAGCCAGAGCTCCCCAAATGTATTCAACTCTGTCATCTGCTATATGTGTGTTCATCCCAACAGCTTATAGCTGTTACAGCTTATGCCAACGGTATAAATACAAAGTTTGACAAGAAGAAAAACACTATTTCACATATTTCCATTATAAATTATTTTCTAGAAAATTATCATTTTTGTGGTTGATGAGTATAGCTAAATTAATTTTTTTAAGTATCACAGAACTTACTTAATATCTGTGGTTGGTATAGAAATAAAAATATATTTTAAGTGATGTTCAGGACTTACCACCTCCTCCTCCAAGGAGACTGGCATTTGCTGTTTAAAAGAAAACAAAACAGAAGAAAGACATTAAATAATATATAAAAATATAATAGGCCAGATGGTTTAATAAAAAATTAATAATGATAATATCTCTTATAAATACACATTCTTTTGTATAAAGACAGCCTTTATAACTGCTTAATAATGGTATGAAAATTGAAATTCTTTGCTATTTTTATCTCTTTTTCTCTTCAAATAACTATTTTTATAATGTACTTCCTTCTAATAAAGTGAAGCGCATAATGTAATCCTTTTATTTTTCATTCTTTATCTAAATTAATCTTCTGGGTTCTCTATTTTATCAAGTAGAGAAAGAATAGTTACTTAGACAATTTCAATGATTTCAAAGAACAATGTAACAAGAAAGAATAATAATTTTAATTAAATTAAACACAATCAAATAAAGCTATCTCAAGACACTTTGTAGTAAAACTCTTAAATAATAATAGATTTATTACTTTTATCATTAACTTTTTATTGAAAGGAAAGAAATAAATTTTAAGCATTTTTGTAAAGCAATGCTATGACATATCTTACCCAGTTATCCATTATTCTCACACACATATTTAGAGAAACAAAATAATAAGAAAAATATAAGACAATTCCATTTGGAATTCTTTCAAGAGGTCAAATTTTCAGGAAGTTCCATGGCAGATTTCTGTTGAAGTATTAGCAACCTTATGCCTATGTTTATCTAGTAATTATAATAGGCAGAAAACAGAAGACCTTTATTCCATAAAGTTTTATGTATCAGAGGCATTATCTCATGCCATTAAAAAAGAAAGAAAGAGCCAAAACCAGTTTGGCTCAGTGGTAGAGCGTCGGTCTGTGGAATGAAAGGTCCCGGGTTCGATTCCAGTCAAGGGCATGTAACTTGGATGCGCACACATCCCCGGTAGGGGGTGTGCAAGAGGCAACTGGTCAATGTTTCTCTCTTATTGACGTTTCTAGCTCTCTCTCTCTCTCTCCCTTCCTCTCTGTAAAAAAATCAATAAAATATATTTAGAAAAAAAAGAAAGAAAAAAAATTACATAGCTATATAAAGAAAGCATATGACAACTAGGCTCCCTATCTTTGTGGAGAATTCTGAGCTATCAAAAGATTAAAGAAAGCAATTAGAAAGAGGTGTAGGGGGTCTTTAACTTGAATTTAGTGTGTTATCCATAGGACCATGCATTGCCACAATTAAGAGAAGCAAATATCAGAGTGTTAATGATTCCAGTAATAAAAAAAACCTGGATCATTTTAAGAGCAAATGCATATACACTTATTTCCATGTGGTTAAATGAGTGATGGCTTGTTAACTATTGCAACCCTAAAGAGGCTATCATTAAAAATGCCTGGAGAGCAAATGCCCTTGAAGATTTTCTCAATATTCATCACTAGCACATCAAATCAAGTACAAGGTCATCTAATTGTTGCTCTTGCCTTACTCTCAGTGCTTTTGTCACAAACAAGGACTAGCAGTACCATTATTAACATAAAGAAAACTCACTTCTGATGTCATAAAGTCTTCTGCCATCCCATCACCACAGGTCTCCAAACCTCTGCACTCACAGTGAGAAAGTGTGGAGTATTTATAGAGATGGCAGCCAGCACTTAAAGTCCTACCCCAAATTAAACTCCGTAACTGTTAAACTAGTAACTTGTTGAAGGGACACTAGGAAAGATGTTGTGAATTCTATTTTGGTCCCATACCTCTGAGTACATGGGAGAATTTCATGATCAACCTATGTTTCTTGGGTAATTCAAACATTTTTTTTCTGAAATTGTAGCTACAGGCATTTATAAAATTGCATGGCATTTCACACTCCTGCTCATTTTTTCTTTTTATATTTGACTGAGAACAGCTTCCTTATCTATACGTTTTCCAGACCCCTGAAACTCCATCTGTCATTCTCCAAGTTTCACGTTTTCATTCACAAAGAAAAAAGGTATTTCCGACAGCAAACTATAACAGTAATGAAGAGTAGCTTTTCACTCAAACGATCATGCCCAGAAGCACAGTAACACAATATAGTTTCCTTGCGCCCAATGTTTTGCTCAATAAAGGTGGAGGCTGCCTGTTTGGAGAGCATAGCGGAAGGCCCATCTGTTTAATCAGGCACTTGTCCAATAGATGTGGGTGGATGAGTGGGAGTAGGTGTAGGAACTAAAATCCCAGTCTGGACAACCATCAAGTCAATTTATGTCAGATGTGTGCTCATGTTTAGATGAGCCTATCTGGTCACATTTTAACAGCAACATAGGAATATTTTATAAAATTGTGGCATTCTACTTAGTTTCAAGTATATTATTTTCATGTAATAGAATCTTTTTTTTAATATATTTTATTGATTTTTCACAGAGAGGAAGAGAGAGGGATAGAGAGTTAGAAACATCGATGGAGAGAATCATCGATCAGCTGCCTCTTGCACACCCCCTACTGAGGATGTGCCTGCAACCAAGGTACATGCCCTTGACCGGAATCGAACCTGGGACCTTTCAGTCCGCAGGCCAACGCTCTATCCACTGAGCCAAACCGGTGCCGGCCATGTAATAGAATCTTAACCTAAAATGCTTAAATATATTTAAAGCAATTCTAATAACTGCAATCAGGATAATAATTTTTCTGAAGAATCCATCAAGTTTAACTCTATTTTATCAATTTCTGTTCTCTAAAAAAAAAAAAAAAATTAATGTTTACTTTCTTAGCAAAAATATCAAGGTAATTATCTTCAATAAGAGTGATATAAAAGTAGGCAAATAAAAAAGTGAACCTTTATTAAGATTTCTAAAATTACTTTGCCTTCACAAAGCATGCTATGCACAATATACCTGATTCTCAACACTTACTGGCCTGGTAAATTAATTATTTCTTCTTTTTACAAAAGTTAAATGACTTGGTGTGTCTAAAATTAATAGTCATTTAACTTCTACTTACTTATCTCCAATAAATTGCGGTGTATCGCAATTACATAGGAAGCCCTAAACTTTAGGGCCTAAAGCTAAGCTGGCCTGCACCTGATGAACTCTCAATACATATGCTCTAATAATGAGATACTAATTCACAGGTTGAGTTCAATTCCTTTATTGACATATAAGAAGTACTGCCCAAACCAGTTTGGCTCAATGGATAGAGCGTCGGCCTGCAGACTCCAGGGTCCCGGGTTCGATTCCAGTCAAGGGCATGTACCTGAGTTGCGGGCACGTCCCCAGTAGGGGGTGTGCAAGAGGCAGCTGATTGATGTTACTCTCTCATCGATGTTTCTGGCTTTCTATCCCTCTCCCTTCCTCTCTGTAAAAAATCAATAAAATATATTTAAAAAAAAAAAAGAAGTACTGGTTTACTAAAACATATAAAAAGAGCTAACTGTGGTTCTTTTTCTTCCCATAAAATTAAGGGCTATTAAAGAAACTCAAAGTTTATTTGGAAATACTTCGTGATTAAGAAAGTATGAAATATATCTCTAAGTCCCTTGCTAGGGAAAAATTTAGGTAAGCTTCAAATTATCCCTAGCGTATCACAGAAAGGAAAAGGAAAAAGAAAACAAAGAAAACTTGAAGTTTATGAGCCTGATGCCACTGCTTCTGAAATAAAATTTTAAATGATCTTCTCTTTGCATGCTTACTAATAACACTACTTGCATTCATATTTTCCTAAGTAAAATGCCCCTTCTATTACTAGAGTAGGTGGAGGAAAAAATCATGCTAAACTGCTTGTCTCAAAGACTAATTCAATGAAGAATTAAACTAGTCTTTACAAGTTAGTGACTCTGAGTATTGCACTCTCCCCTTCTCCCAGATAACAATTCAAAATAAAGACAAAACTAAACATAAAATGGGAGAAAAGATTACCTAAATATGATTTCAAAATGGCAAGTATAGAGAATTTATTTACAATACCTTTGAAGCATAGTAACCCCCATTTTGTATAAAAAAAACCCTGCTGTTTGAATTCTCTGCTATTGTTAAATAATCCCTTGTTCTATAAACTATGTCATTGTAAACTCTGTCACTTTAAGACAGTCTGTTATTTTGTAAAATGACTTAGTTTTTTTAGTTCAAAAAATAGAAAAAGATAAACTTAACTGTCTGATCTTGCAAGCTAGCTATATAATGTAATAGACTAATACTGATAATAATTCCAAGTACTAACTCATTATGTATTCAAGATTACAACTGTCTGTAACAATAACTCGCACAGAGCCCTTTGTAATATCTGCAAGCAAAGAGGCTCCAAAAGTATAAAAACGAGATACTTCCTCTATGTCAGGGCTCAGAGATTTGGAAAAGACACCTCCTTCTGCACCGCATGTGGATGAATGACTCCTAATTAATTGGCTCATTAGGCGTCTTATATTTCATTCTATGACTGACAATACAACACCCTAAGCAAGTGGTTAGTTTTTTTAAAAAAATATATTTTTTTTTATTGATTTTTTTACAGAGAGGGATAGAGAGTCAGAAACATCGATGAGAGAGAAACATCGACCAGCTTTTTTACAGAGAGGGATAGAGAGTCAGAAACATCGATGAGAGAGAAACATTGACCAGCTGCCTCTTGCACACCCCCTACCAGGGATGTGCCCGCAACCAATGCACATGCCCTTGACGGGAATCGAACCTGGGACCTTTCAGTCTGCAGACCGACGCTCTACCACTGAGCCAAACCGGCTTCGGCTAGTTTTTAAAGTTTATAAGAAATTGTTTTTTCCATATGAATTGTTTTGAAATTTTTAATTAAAATGGTCAAATTTCCATAAATGTTAATATTAATTTTAAAATTACCAAAAAAAATGAATGCAATGTAGAAATCCTGTTCCTGGAATAATTATCCTAAATAAAAAGTGATCTTTTTATTTATCCTAAATAAAAAACATTGCCAATAGTGTCATTATTTTATGTTGGTCTCAAAGTATGAATAGTCTATTAGATTACCTTGTTCCTAAAATAAAATCTCTTTTTAAAAAAATATATTTTATTGATTTTTTACAGAGAGGAAGAGAGAGGTA